TGGTTTAGTCCTGGTTTTGACCTGGTTTAGTCCTGGTTTAGTTCTGGTTTAGTCCTGGTTTAGTCCTGGTTTAGTCCTGGTTTAGTCCTGGTTTAGTTCTGGTTTAGGTTGGTTTTTTTAGACCTGGTTTAGTCCTGGTTTAGATCTGGTTTAGTCTGGTTAGTCTGGTTTAGTCTGGTTTAGTCTGGTTTAGTCCCAGTTTAGACCTGGTTTAGTCCTGGTTTAGACCTGGTTTAGTCCTGGTTTAGACCTGGTTTAGTCCTGGTTTAGTCCTGGTTTAGTCCTTTAGTCCCGGTTTAGACCCGGTTTAGTCCCGGTTTAGTCCTGGTTTAGACCCGGTTCAGTCCTGGTTTAGACCCGGTTTAGTCCTGGTTTAGACCCGGTTTAGTCCTTGTTTAGACCCGGTTTAGACCTGGTTTAATCCTGGTTTAGTCCTGGTTTAGACCCGGTTTAGTTCTGGTTTAGTCCCGGTTTAGTTCTGGTTTAGACCTGGTTTAGTCCTGGTTTAGTCCTGGTTTAGATCTGGTTTAGTCCCGGTTTAGTCCTGGTTTAGTCCCAGTTTAGACCTGGTTTAGTCCCGGTTTAGTCTGGTTTAGTCTGGTTTAGTCCTGGTTTAGACCCGGTTTAGTCCCGGTTTAGGTTTAGTCCTGGTTTAGACCCGGTTTAGTCCTGTTTAGTTTAGACCGGTTTAGACCTTGTTTAGACCCGGTTTAGACCTGGTTTAGTCCTGTTTAGACCTGGTTTAGTCCTGGTTTAGTCCCGTTTAGTTCTGGTTTAGACCTGGTTTAGAGCTGGTTTAGACCCGGTTTAGTCCTGGTTTAGACCCGGTTTAGTCCTTGTTTAGACCCGGTTTAGACCTGGTTTAGTCCTGGTTTAGACCTGGTTTAGTCCTGGTTTAGTCCCGGTTTAGTTCTGGTTTAGACCTGGTTTAGACCTGGTTTAGTCCTGGTTTAGTCCTGGTTTAGTCCTGGTTTAGTCCTGGTTTAGTAATAATAATAATAAAATAAAAGCCGTGACAAAAGCGCAGATCTGGAGAATCACCACCAGAGGGCGCCCGCACTTCAACTGACAATAACGTCATTTTAAATAATTTTTTTTTTTATATAATAATAAAAATAAATAAATAAAATTAAAATAAATTTAAAATGAAAAAAAAAATAAAAATAATAATAATAATAATAATAATAAGCCAGGACAGAGGGGTTTAGACCTGGTTTAGTCCTGGTTTAGACCTGGTTTAGACCTGGTTTAGACCTGGTTTAGACCTGCTTTAGACCTGCTTTAGACCTGGTTTAGTCCTGGTGTAGACTTGATTTAGTCCTGATTTAGACCTGGTTTAGTCCCTATTTAGACCTGGTTTAGTCTTGATTTAGACCTGGTTTAGACCTGATTTAGACCTGGTTTAGATCTGGTTTAGCTCTAATTTAGTCCTGGTTTAGTCCTAATTTAGACCTGGTTCAGTCTTGGTTTAGTCTTAGTTTAGTCCTGGTTTAGACCTGGTTTAGACCTGGTTCAGTCTTGGTTTAGTCCTGGTTTAGTTAATATTTATGTTTGGTCTGAAATGTTTCAGAACGACAAAGGTGCAAAAAAAGAAAAAGTAAGAAATCGTTAAGGGGCAAATACTTTTTCACGGGACATTTTTTTGTGAGCGTCTCGTTTCAGTCGTGAGTCATGTAAGAATTAAAATCTGTGTTTCAGGGTCGTCAAAAGAGTCAAAAATCAGATCCTGACGATACTAAAACTAGAATCGAAACCTGCCCCTCGCCGTCGTCCGTTCCTCGGTGTCGATAAAGTTTGACGCCAGACTCTGCCGTTTAATTTTCCACAAACAAGAGATTCTTTTGTAGTTTTTGTTTCATTTTTATTTCATTTATTGACATAAACTTTCACAGATGAAAACAGACGTTGCATTGAGTCGCTCAGTTTGCACAGATCACACGCTTCACACTCGCACACAAATAAAATACAGAAAATAAACTCCTCTCACACCCGGACATATTTGTAGTTTTTTGCAGAGCGGTCGGCCATGTTTGTTTGTGGAGCGGTTTTTGGACAGTTGCGGTTCTTTTTACGGTTTTGAATCCAGCTTTCGTCCTCCAGCTTCGATAAAACAGCGTTCGGTCACTTCAGAGGGTCACCGAAACGTTTAGTCCTGGTTTAGTCCTGGTCCAGTCCTGGTCCAGTCCTGGTCCAGTCCTGGTTTAGTCCTGGTTTAGTCCTGAAGAGAGGAGAAACCGGGTCTAAAGGCAGAACTAAACCTGGACTTCAACATTAAGTTAGTCCAGTTTTGTCTTTTGGGTTTTTTTTGCATTTACAGAAGGCACTGGTTTGGACTTAGTTTAGTCCTGGTTTAGTCCTGGTTTAGTCCTGAAGAGAGTAGAAACTGGGTCTAAAGGCGGAACTAAACCTGGACTTCATCATTAAGTTAGTCCAGTTTTGTCTTTTGGGTTTTTTTGGGTTTTTTTTGCATTTACAAAAGGCACTGGTTTGGACTTAGTTTAGTCCTGGTTTAGTCCTGGTCTAGTCCTGGTCTAGTCCTGGTTCAGTTTCCAGCCCCACAGAGTCCGTGTAAACTATCCAGGCTGAGTTTAGGTCCAGCTTTAGTCCTTTGTCCTTTAGGTTGGTCTTATTTTAGTCTCGGTTCAGTTTGGACTTGTCTTTGGTCCCTTAGAGTCCACGTGTAGACCCTGGTCCAGACCCTGGTCCAGACCGTAGTCCAGACCCTGGTCCAGACCCTGTCCAGACCCTGGTCCAGACCCCGGTCCAGACCCCGGTCCAGACCCCGGTCTCACTCGGCCTTGTCTTTGCGTTTTCCGGTGAACGGGACTTTGGCGGCGACGGTGGAGCCCACGGAGGCCACGCCCCCCGCCACCGCAGACACGCCCCCTTTCACCAGCCCCGCCCCCACCGCCGGCACCGAGGAAACCGTCGCCTTGGTGATCTCCAGGCTCCGCCCGCCGACCCAGGCCACGCCCCCCGCCGCCGCGCCGATCACGCTCTTGGTGGCGCTGAAGAGTCCACCGGTCACTCGCCAGACCAGACCCGGACTCTGGACCGCGTGGTCTTTACCCGGATCTGAGGGGAGCAGAGAGACCAGGATCAGAACCAGGACCAGGATCAGAACCAGGATCAGAACCAGGACCAGGATCAGAACCAGAACCAGGATCAGAACCAGGACCAGCACCGGGACCGGGATCAGAACCAGGATCAGAACCAGGATCAGAACCAGGACCAGGATCAGAACCAGGATCAGAAACCAGGACCGGGACCAGGATCAGGATCAGAACCGGGACCAGGACCAACACACACAAGGAACAGAAACAACAGAGACCGGGATCAGAACCGGGACTGGGACTAACAGAGACTAGGAACAGAACCAGGATCAGGATCAGAACCGGGACCAGGATCCAGGATCAGAACCAGGACAGGATAGACCAGGACCAGGATCAGATCAGAAGGACCAGGACCAACACACACAAGGAACAGAACAACAGAGACTGGGATCAGAACCGGACTGGACTAACAGAGACTAGGAACAGAACCAGGATCAGGATCAGAACCGGGACCAGGATCAGAACCAGGATCAGAACCAGGACCAAGATCAGAACCAGGACCAGGACCAGGATCAGGATCAGAACCGGGACCAGGACCAACACACACAAGGAACAGAAACAACAGAGACCGGGATCAGAACCGGGACTGGGACTAACAGAGACTAGGAACAGAACCAGGATCAGGATCAGGACCAGGACCAGGATCAGAACCGGGACCAGGACCAGGATCAGAACCGGGATCAGAACCAGGATCAGGATCAGAACCAGGACCGGACAGGATCAGAACGGGACAGGATCAGAACCGGGACCAGGACCAGGATCAGAACCGGTACCGGGACCAAACCAGGACCAGGATCAGAACCAGGACCAGCATCAGAACCAGGTTCAGAACCAGGACCAGGATCAGAACCAGGATCAGAACCAGGATCAGAACCAGGATCAGAACCAGACTAACAGAGACCAGGATCATAACCAGACCAACAGAGACCAGGATCATAACCGGACCAACAGAGACCAGGATCATAACCGGACCAACAGAGACCAGGATCATAACCGGACCAACAGAGACCAGGATCATAACCGGACCAACAGAGACCAGGATCATAACCGGACCAACAGAGACCAGGATCATAACCGGACCAACAGAGACCAGGATCATAACCGGACCAACAGAGACCAGGATCATAACCGGACTAACAGAGACCAGGATCACACAGGACAGGATCATAACCGGACAACAGAGACAAGGATCATAAAAAGACCAACAGAGACCAGGATCATAAAAAGACCAACAGAGACCAGGATCATAACCAGACCAACAGAGAACCAGATCATAACCGGATCAACAGAGACCAGGATCATAAAAAGACCAACAGAGACCAGGATCATAAACCGGACCAACAGAGACCAGGATCAGAACCGGACCAACAGGGGTTGAGGTTGGTGTTGGGGTTAAGGTTGGGTTAGGTTGGGGTTGGGGTTAAGGTGTGGGGTTGGTGTTGGGGTTGAGGTTGGTTTTTGGTTGAGGTTGGGTTGGGTTGGGGTGAGGTTGGGGTTGAGGTTGGGTTGAGGTTGGGTTGGGTTGGGTTGGTTTGAGGTTGGGGGTTGAGGTTGGGTTGAGGTTGGGGTTGGGTTGGGGTTGGGTTGGGGTTGAGGTTGGGGTTGAGGTTGGGGTTGGGTTGGGGTTGACCGTTGGGTTGACGTTGGGGTTGACGTTGGGGTTGGGGGTTGGGTTGGGTTTGGGTTGAAGGTTGGGGTTGGGTTGATGGGTTGAGGTTGGGTTAAGGTTGGGGTTGAGGTTGGGTTGAGGTTGGGTTGGGGTTGAGGTTTGGGTTAAGGTTAAGGTTGGGGTTGAGGTTTGGTTAAGGTTGGGGTTGAGGTTGGGGTTGAAGGTTGGGGTTGAGGTTGGGTTTGGAGTTGAGGTTGGTGGTTGGGTTGGGGTTGGGG